ATTGGGTGTAACATTGTTGACCATGATATAGGTGGGATTCTTACCAATACTTACCATTGGTGTATGTGTTACCACTATCCCTAATTGTTGTATCCTGTTGGATAAACAGATTAGGGCATCAGAGTTTTCCAATCTCTGACCCTCCTTGACCTGTAGGGGTAAAAGAAAATTACTTGTCCCCTGTGGAATGGTTATGTTATCAGGAACTTGGATACTTACCGCATATGGGAGTATTTGTCCTGATTTCAGGGTGTTTTCCTCGTGTAGGTATCCACAAGGATTACCTTTTAACCTTGTCCACAAGTTGGAATTAATCAGGTCAAGGTATATGGCAAAGCGATGTATGACATCATTGCCAACGTAAACCTGATAGCGAGGTTCGTCTATCACTAGGAATAAATGTTTAACTGTTTTATTTCCGATGGAAATAGATAGTAAACATTTTGCTATCACATTGTAACTCTCTGATTCGCCATCCAGATTCTGGATCCACCTGTCATGTGGGGAAGCGTACCTGATCATTTTAGGATTAGCAATCTGCTTTAACAGACTTCTGCTAATATAGCTGTTCTCACTCTTTAAGTCCAGCTTTGCATTCCTAATTCTTCCTAAGTCATTTATTTGAATAGGAAAGAATAAGTTGTTATTAACCCTTTCAATTCTGGCAAGGAATTGAGCATGACCTGCCAGATCTACAGATTCAACATAGTCCCTGTGGAGAGAAATGGTTAAAACATCACCTTCCAGAGAGACATTCTGGATCCTCCTTGGAGCAATTCTTATGGAATGCTCATCTACAGGTGCGATTGCATCATTCACCTGTAGGATAGTCACGTCAGGTGACTGACTATTTCTAAAATGTACCTCAATTGAGTCAGGTCTTTCTTCTATCACATGGCAGTTACGATCAGATCGAACATGTGATTTCTCATAGGTTATGGGAACCTTAGCTTGTGACCATACAATTCCATTTACACAGTCAATAATTGTGTTAAGTCTTCTGAGTATGTCTATACCCAGAATCAGTCGGTCATAGGGAGATCTACCACTATTACCGGGTGTCTAAAGGTTTTGTTACCTATTTTAAACTTTAACCAGGTATTGCCAATAACATGAAGGGCATTTCCTCCTACACTCAACAGAGCATTGGGGAAATCTCTTAGCTTTGGCTTATCCGCTGCTAGGTCCATTACCTGCTGGAAGTAGGTATTGGATAAGATAGTGGCTTGTGAACCAGTATCTATTAACCCTTTGAAGGGCTGGGGCAGCGAATCCTGTATTTCTACAGACATGTAGTACCTTCCTTCATGTTCTTCTAATTCACATAAGAATTTAGAATGTGTCAACATATTACTTGTTTTCCATACATTACCGGTCACAGCAGTAGTTTCTACCTGTACTGAGGAATGCTCAGTCTTACCCACAGGCCCATCCTTTTTAGGAATAATTTGAACTGTCAAGCGGGAACTAGTGGTCGGCATCTCATCAGTTAACCCTTTCAGGTCTGGATCCTGGAAACTAGTGGCTGCTGGGGCTATTTTAGCCTTTGGCTGAAATGAAAAAACAGAGGAACACGTTGCGCCTCCTTCGCCCGGAAGTGAAGTGACGGTATAGGCAATAGGTTTTCTAACACAACTATTGTTTGTTTGACTATGAGTACCTGGAAAGGAAACAGGGTTAGGCATTACATCTACTGATAACCTAGCCTGTTTAGTCACAGTGGCTATTATTGCTGTGGCACCTGTTGTTGTTGCTGCGGTTGCACAGGTAGTTCTGCAATTGGAGCTATCCCTAAAAAAGGATTGAAAGCAAAGACTTGGTTGATCTTTGTCATTTCCTCCATTAATTTGCCCATCTGGTCTGTCAATTGACCAACCTGACGACGCAAATTATTTCCCCCATTACCGTTTTGTCTTTGCCCATTAGAATTTGGTTGGGATGGCTGAGACTGTTGGGAGTTATTGGAAGCAGATTGGTTGTTTCTGTTTCCATATCTCCTATTTCCTTGAGGATTCCTTCTCCATTGGGAATTGCCTTGGTTCTTATTAACCCAGGGGCGTTTATTCCCATTGGCATTGGATTTTACAGAGTTATTAGAGGAATTTGCAGAATTGCTTCTGGCATTTTCCTGTTTCTGAGGTTTTGGAGTTTTCAAAACCTCGGAATAGGTCCTCTTTTTCTGTTGGGTTTCTAAACCTGACTGAATTTTAGTCTCTGACACCATTTTATCACCAGGTTTCTTAACCTTTGGCTGATTTTCGTCATGTGCATGGTGTATAGTATACAACTTCATGCACTGACTGACTAGCCATTCTAATGGTAACTTACAATCGTAATCTCTTGTGAGATTCATTTGTATGTTTACCGGCATGGCATGAAAATACAGATCTTTGAAGTCTGTGCTTTCATACCTGGGTTTCCTTTGGGCCACGGAGTATGCATTTTTAAGAATTATTAAAAATTCTCTTGGGCTTTGATCTGGACGGCACTTTAAATTATAAAGCGCCTTCTTTGCAGAAGCAATGGTTTTATACTTACCATATTCCATGATTATTTCATATTTCATCTTGGACCAGGACATTAACTGTATAGCTTGAAGACTTTCTAGATAAACACGACACATTGAATCAAAGGTCCATGTAATGAACCATTTCTTATGAATGTCATCATACATGCCCAATGAATTCATTGCTCTATCATAATTTTCCAGATGTTCAGATATGTTTCCTGAACCTCTAGAAAATTGTGGGACAGTCTCTCTAAGGAATTTGATGACCTTTGGTGTTTCATAAACAGGCATCGTTGAATTACGACCTCTGTTTCTGTGTTTGGGTAAACGTCTATGCGATCTGTCTGCTGAAGAGGAATTAGACCCGTACAACAGTGCAGATGGCATATCAGTTACATGGCCTTCAGAGTGGACAGTGCAATCACTTTCACTCCCATCACTCTGAGCTTCTTGTTCACTGTCACAATTCTGATCAGCATCAGAATCCTGCCAGTGTACAGAACCATGTCTGTTTTCATTCCTATCATCTTGAATTGGACTCTCCCTCTCAAGTTTGGCCAAGACAGCTTTTTCAAACTGTTCTGCCCAAGATTGCCAAGAATCTACAGGTGTTTTCTCAGAATTACTCACATCTTTACTTACAGACTGTTTTATGAAAACCTGGTCTGGTGTGTGAATATCAGGGAATTGAGAAGAATCACTTGGGTCTTCAATTATTTCAGTATTATCTGTTACAGATTTATCACTGCCACTGGCCATTTTTATTTTAATTTTATTGATTAATCTCAATACAAAACTCTTTTCTATATTAAGATTAAATTGCATGAATTACACCAATATTATTATTATATATGAAATACAATTTCAACTTAAACGATCTCAGCACCGTGCCTCCAATATGTGGGGATATTTATGGGATAATAATAGTAAACAGTTGAGAATTGCCCACTAATTCAATTCTCAGATCCCAAAGAACGTTTATCGTGTTAAGTGGAATGTATTTCATATAATAATATCACAATGTATAAAAATAGATTTTATTTATATGACAAATAAATAAATTAATAATAATATTATGCAACATGCATGACAATAATCAATGAATATCCAGTACAAAATTATTTGCAATACAAAGAAATGGGTATTACGTTTCAATGGCTAAACGGCATTTTCTGTCAAGAATTCTGACGATTTATGAGGTATCCTTAACACAGACTTAAGTGAAACTTTTCACAGCGAAGAACAGAATTCCTCAGAGTGCAGCGTAAGGTCGTAAAGTTTAGCAGACAGTTAGAATAACCCTTTCAATGCTGGCTAGATCTCCTAGGTAGTTAAGGTCTACTCTTATGTAATTTTAAATAAAATAACATTTAACCAGTTCATTAGCCGTTTCCTGAAATCATCCAATAAGAGAATTTACCATATTATATAAGCAGATTTTAATTTGTCTAAAAGATATCTTATCTTAATTTAGAGCAAATCAATACACCTGGATAAAAACAGCGGTATGCTAACACGTGATAATATCACATCAATATATAATTATTCTTAATTCCACCTGCAGAATGGAATATTTATAACTATATATTCTTAGTTAACTAAGATTTCTTAATATGGAAATCTGACCGTGCTTTATCCAGTCATATATAATGCTATTAATACATTTTAATTAATTTAATTTAATTAAATGAAACCAGTATAATTACCAGTTGAGTAGATATTTCATCCGATTGGTAGTCTCTCTGCATGGAGGTGTTGGTTAGAAAGTCAGTAAATTCTAAGATCATAGGGGTGTTAGTCTCAGATGTTGTCCGAGTTGGAGTCCCCAAACTTCCAATTCCTCTCTCCTCTCCTTTGCATATCTTGCATCTGCCTCCTCTCTCGTCTTTTTCTATCTTCCCTTTGTCTTAACTTTTAAAGGGCCAGACTCTCTGTACGTCATCAGTTGATAACCCAATAGAAGTACTAGAGGTGTGGTTATCTTCCAGATCGCAAATTAGTTATTTGGTCTGTAGAGGGCAGTCTTGTCCCACTAAACATACCTATCCAGGAAAGAGTTAATTTTTCCTGGTGGCTATTTTGACGTCATTTTGCTTATCTCAAATGACCACTATAACTTAGGTATCCTTCAAAGATCAAAGGGTTTCTTAAATTTTGTCCAGACTATGTGTCTGGCAAATCTGCTATAATTTCTGATATGGCAGATCATGAACTAAGTTTACCCTTTTCCATACAATGGTACCTTATATATATAGACAGTTAAATATTAAATTATTTAATCTTCTCTGTCACAATTGTCTGGGTTTAGATTTGATTATATTCCTCTTATCACTTGTTTATACTATGCTATGCATTCCTTAGCTCTGGCAAAGAGGCCAGTCTTACAGAAAGAAATCCTGTGTCTCTTTGTTTTTTTTTGACTTGGAATAACAAAATGGAGTCTGGTCTGTTCAGAGTGACTCAGAATATACACTTTTAGTTTCTATCATAGCACAAAATGTCTGCCGATATAAATACTCTGACAAGAGGTAGGGGTAGGAATAGGGTTACCCTACCCCTACTCCAACCACTAACCCTACCCCAAACCTTAACCCTACCCCTAAACCTAACCCAACCCCAACCCTTACCTCTATTCCAACCCCTAACCCTACCCCAACCCTTAACCCTACCTCTACCCCAACCACTAACCCTACTCCAACCCCTAACCCCAACCCTCTCCTGTTTTGCCACTTTTCAGAAATCCAAAGCACTTCGGAACTTCGGAAATTAACAGATCTGTGCCGTGAGCTGGATCACTGTTGAGGGTGATCGATAGAATCGTAGTCTCTTTCGCTGGTTTTGGCGGCTCTTCAGGGGGAAGTTTAGACATTTATATATCTTCAGTGTATGCTAATCTTATGGGAGCACTGTAACAATACAGGAGATACACCAAGTCTCTGTCAGCAACAGCAATAGGTCCATATTGTGTAATTGTAAGAGACCAACATTTAGTCTGTCCCTTCCATCAAGGACCAGTTTGCTGCACGAGACGTACATACAACAGTCTCTAACAGTATCAATAATTGAAAGAGACTATGATTCTATCGGTCTCCCTCAACAGTGATCCAGCTCATGGCACAGATCTGTTAAGTTTTTCTCTCCGGCTGATAAGCGCAGCACTTATCAATCTCCTGCTGTTACGGCAGGACAAATTGCCGCCAATAAAAATAGGTCCATATAGAGCAATTGCAAGAGACCAATGCTTTTCTCGTCTCTTCCATCAAGGATCATTTTGCTGCATGAGACTTATACATAATAATCACTGTCAAATAATAGAGAGAAACCTCTATTTCAACGGTCCCCTCCTAACAGTGACCATACTTACTCAGCACAGTGATCAAGCTTTTGCTGCAAGAGACATATAGCCACAAGTCTCTGTCAGAAACAGTAACAGTTTCTGTCACAAGAGAAACACCGTTCAATCTCATCTAGAAATAGCAACTTTTTACCTTATGAGCCAGATTGCAATATAATTGCTGTAGACAATTACAGTACCCTATCTGACACCCTCTAAGGTATCCATGTTTAAGGGAGTGTATATATACCTTTTATTCACTTCCTCACCATTATTTATTCTTAATTATAACTAATAAAAGCTAATCTTGAATCTCTTATCTACATATTTTGGTCTGGGCAAATCTTTTTTTGTTCTTTACACATAGGGTCCATGCCCATTTTGCTCAGACATTAACTCTTCTCCCACCTCTCTTTCTCAAGTCTCTGTTACATGTAGATGTGCAATATAGTAAACTTCATAGTAAAATTCAATTATTATTTTTTTTTTTTTCATTCTTTATTTGCAGTAAGCATATTAATACAACAGTGTCTGTATCGCCCCAACAGCATCATTAGGCTCAATTCGGGGTCAAGAGAAAAATACAATGGTTTGTCAAATAGGAGTCCTAATAATACATAGATATCACATTTTGCTACATTCGCTGTGGCATGACAGTACTTTTTAAGGTGTATCTTCATATCACTTAATCAAGATTAAGATAAAGTCCCAATAAACCAATAATAGAACAGAACAAAACAGCAGGTCCTGGGGCTGATAGCTTACCAAAGGCCGTAGGTGGCCGGGTGGAGGCCCATTTGTAGGCCTTTGTGTAATAATCAACAAATGTATCTGCGTATTTGATTACTCTACTCGCGCTGGATGGTAGAATGTTAGTGAAGGCTGTGTGACGTGTGGGTGTGGTATTGCTTTGGGAGATCAAGTTTTAGGGGAGATAAGAGGGGAGTGTGGCGGTATTCCTCTCTGTCTTGTAGCAGGCTTATTGCTATAGAACGGTGATTGTTTTGGCCTCTTTGTGGCGGCCTCGATGACCCTCAGTTTAGGGAGGGAGGGTGGGGAATGGAAGGGCAGGGGGTGATGTCTGATCTCATGGAGATCTGTACCGGTGTTGTGTTGTGATATGATGCTGGGGGGTCTTATGTATGTGTTCCTCTGTTTGGGCGTATCCAATGTCAGAGTATTTATATCGGCAGACATTTTGTGCTATGATAGAAACTAAAAGTGTATATTCTGAGTCACTCTGAACAGATCAGACTTCATTTTGTTATTTTCAAATTAACAAAAAGACACAAAAATTCTTTCTGTAAGACTGGCCTCTTTGCCAGAGCTAAGGAATGCATAGTATAAACAAGTGATAAGAAGAATATAATCAAATCTAAACCCAGACAATTGTGACAGAGAAGATTAAATAATAAAATTTAACTGTCTATATATATAAGGTACCATTGTATGGAAAAGGGTAAACTTAGTTCATGATCTGCCATATCAGAAATTATAGCAGATTTGCCAGACACATAGTCTGGACAAAATTTAAGAAACCCTTTGAAATTTTAAATTATGGCACTATAAAGATAACGCAAAATGACGTCAAAATAGCCACCAGGAAAAGTTAACTCTCTCCTGGATAGGTATGTTTAGTGGGACAAGACTGCCCTCTATAGATCAAATAACTAAATTGCGATCTGGAAGATAACCACACCTCTAGTGCTTCTATTGGGTTATCAACTGATGACGTACAGAGAGTCTGGCCCTTTAAAAGTTAAGACAAAGGGAAGATAGGGAGGCAAGATATGCAAGAGATGCAAAGGAGAGGAGAGAGGAATTGGAAGTTTGGGGATTCCAACTCGGACAACATCTGAGACTAACACTCTACTCCTAAAACTCTAACACTTAGAATTTACTGACTTTCTAACCAACACCTCCATGCAGAGAGACATCCAAATAAGTTCCTGAGACTACCAATCGGATGAAATATCTACTCAACTGGTAATTATACTGGTTTCATTTAATTAAATTAAATTAATTAAAATGTATTAATAGCATTATATATGACTGGATAAAGCACGGTCAGATTTCCATATTAAGAAATCTTAGTTAACTAAAGAATATATAGTTATAAACATTCCATTCTGCAGGTGGAATTAAGAATAATTATATATTGATGTGATATTATCACGTGTTAGCATACCGCTGTTTTTATCCAGGTGTATTGATTTGCTCTAAATTAAGATAGATATCTTTTAGACAAATTAAAAATCTGCTTATATAATATGGTAGATTCTCTTATTGGATGGTTTCAGGAAATGACTAATGAACTGGTTTAAATGTTATTTTATTTAAAATTACATAAGAATAGATCTTAACTACCTAGGAGATCTAGCCAGCATTGAAAGGGTTATTCTAACTGTCTGCTAAACTTTACGACCTTACGCTGCACTCTGAGGAATTCTGTTCTTCGCTGTGAAAAGTTTCACTTTCAGTCTGTGTTAAAGATAGTCATAAATAAAGACTTGACAGAAAATGCTGTTCAGAGTTAATAGCCATTGAAACGTAATACCCATTCCTTTGTATTGCATATCATTTTATACTGAATATTCATTGATTATTGTCATGCATGTTACATATTATTATTAATTAATTTGTCATTATAAATAAAAATCTATTTTTATACATTGTGATATTATTATATGAAATACATTCCACTTAACACCATAAACGTTCTTTGGGATCTGAGAATTGAATTAGTGGGCAATTCTCAACTGTTTACTATTATTATCCCATAAATATCCCCACACCAAACTATAGGGCCTGACTACTTATCGGTTAGGAATTTGATCCATGGCTCCCAAACGGTCTGAAAGAGTGATTGTTTGTGAGCATCTACCTTGGAAATCTAAGTGTATCTACCTTGGCAATCCATTCCCTGATCGAAGGGGTGTTAGAGTTTTTCCATTTAGAAGGGATGAGTAGATTGGCTGCCGTTATGAGGTGGGTGAGGAGGATACGTTGTGGTTTGGGTAGGATCATGAACAGTAGTGTTTGTGGCATAGTCGGGACTAGGATTCCCGTTATTGTTTTGAGTCGTTTTACTATATTGTTCCAGTATGTTATCGGGCATAGCCACCAGGTATGGGCTAGTGAAGCTCCCGGTTGGGAGCATTTCCAGCATATTTCTCATGTGTTGGGGAAGAGGCTATGAATTTTGGCCGGTGATTAGTGCCATCTAGCAACCCTCTTATAGTTTCCCTCCTGGATGGTCGTACATACTGAGGTGGTGTGTGTTTGACGGAAGATAGTTTTCCAGTGGGGTGCTGTGATTTGGGCAGCAAGGTCCTTGGACTATGAGAGTAAAATTAAATTTTATGTCAAGACACGGAGGCTCATATTGCTAAACCCTTTCTTTACTGTCCACCAATAGCAGGAAAGAACACAAATAGAAAAAATATATAACAAATACAGTGAGATACCGGCCAATCCCCATCCAAGTCCCAGTATAACAGCAAGCACCGCCTCTCAAGCTTCCTCTTTCTTTGTTGCTCCACAGTCAAGATAAGTACAAATATTTTTACGCTTAGCAGTATCTGCTTTTCATTGCCTTTATCTACTTTGGTTACTTCTTATTTGCTTATAATCGTGTTATTCTACTTTATTAATACTGTTTTAAATGGTTTTTGATTAATTTTATTTACCTTTGAGCCCAGGGTTCCAGACCTTCCTTTGGGGGATTCTTACATGTGATTCTCCCCTCTCTTCTGAGCTTTGCCTTGTTGCTCCTCTCCTTTGGGGGTCCCTCAGGGGTTTTACCACCCCTTATCTCCTTTATTTTCTCTACATTCCCTTATTTTTATGTTCTGGGTCTCCCCGCCTTCTTCCTGGCTGTTTGCAACCCTTTTGCGCCCGTTTTCACACCACTGTTCGGTTATTTTGCAACAGAGTTGGGCCTTCGGCTAAACTTGCTGTGAATTTGTGCAGTTCATGAGTTTTGCCGCGAATTGTACCATTTGACAATTTGGCCGCGAACGTTTCTCGTTCGACTGTTTTGCCGCGAATGGTTTTTATTTGGTAGTTTTTGCCGCAAACTGGCCGTCCATTAGTTTGGTCCCACAAATTCGTCCTGTTTGTCGCAAGACTGGCGGCGGTCATTTTCTGATCTTACTCATCCTTCTGGCTCTGTCTTTGCCTCATGTCTACCCTGTCTGCTGGTCTGGGCCCTGGTGAGCTCCCCAATCTCTCCCTCTCTGGTGTAGCTAGTTTGGGTGATTAACCCCTACTAGCCGGTATTATTATTATTTTGTCTACAGCTCTATTTTGTTATTGTACTGTTTTTTTGTGGGTCTCACATTGCAATATGCCCAAGCCTGAGGTGCCTGCCTGCCCCCCTTCCCCTGGTGAGATGGATATACCTCAAGACCTGGGGAACCCCTCTTCAGTTTCAAGCTCCCGTCCATCAGTAGCTGGCCCTATTGCTTATCCTGATGAGGCTCAGTCCCTGGCGCTGCAACGTTCAGTCACTGACGCCATTATTATCAATGCTCTGGAGCTCCTGACCAGTTCCTTTCTGATTCAGAGTTTCGTGAACAGAATAGGCAGTATAACTCCTGGGGCTCCACGACATTCATGCGGACTGGAGTTCACGCTATCTTTCGGACAGCAACGACTGGTGATAGGGTATGGGGGTGTTCTCAGCTTTCTCTTCTCTCTGGGGTCCTTTTGCCATCGACCTATTTGCATCCCATCTCAACACCCGTGCCCGGACCCGGCTGCGGAATCAGTGGACGCTTTCCTGCAAGACTGGACCGGCTCTCTCCACTAAGCCTTCCCTCCATTTGTCATGATCCCTCAAGTCCTACTCCACGTTCGCCGCCAACAGGCCAGATTGATCCTGCTGGCCCCTGTTTTGGGGGACTCAATCCTGGTTCCCACAGATGCTGGAGCTGGCAATGGATTTACCCAGGCTGTTGCCTTCTTACCCGGATCTTCTTCTGGATCCAACAGGCCTATGCCATCCGCTTCTGCTTGACGGATCCCTCCTGCTGCTTGCATGACGCATTTCCGGGGTCCCTGAGTTTTCCAGGGGGTTTCGGATGCAACTAGACACCTCCTGGTGGATGCATGGGCTCCCGGTTCTAGACGGTCATATGGGACCGCTTGGCGAGATTGGGCTGGCTGGTGCCTGGCTAGGAAAATGAATCCTGTTTCATCACCCGTGAATGCAATCCTTCAATTCCTTACTTCTTTATTTGAGGCTGGCCATTTGTATTGCACGATTATTTTGTACAGGTCGGCCATTTCTTCGGTTTATCAGGGTTTTGACGGTTTTCCCGCGGGTTGCTTCAGGTGGCTCCTGACTGTCCAGCCCTCCTAGGCCTCGTTACTCTTCCACTTGGAATGTCTCCTGCATGTTGTCTCTCTTCAGTTCCTGGCCTCCTAACTCGGACCTATTCTTATGACAATTGTTAGCCAAGATGGTCTCCCTCTTTTGCCTCATTTCGTGCAAGCGGGTTTCGGGTGATCGTGCCCTGGTCTACGATGCGCGGTCCTTCACTCCGGATGGAGTGACCTGTAACATCTCCAAACGTACTAAGACGGCTATTCGGTCGGTATCATATACGTTTTTTCCAGCTTCTCCGAGATTGTGTCTTGTTGCTTGTTTGCGCGAGTAAGAGCTTTGGACTAGTGCGCATCTTTCTGTATCGTCTCCGCAACTATTTCTCTCGATTTGACAACCATTTTCTCCTATTTCCAGTACTACCTTGGCTTGCTGCGTCAAGTGGGTGATGTCACAGGTTAGTGTGGATACGTCCATTTTTGGCACCCACTCTTCCCGACGGCATCAGCCACATATATGGTGGCTTCAGGTGCGTGTCTGGAAGACTTGATGAGGATGGTGGACTGGTCGCGTGAATCCACGTTTCGAAAATTTTATTTTTGACCTGTCCCTCATGTTTTTTCGTCGGTTGTTGGTCAGCTTTAAACTTGCAACATGAGCCTCCATGTCTTGACATAAAATTACATGATTTTGCTATTTCATGACAAAAAGTCATGATTTTATGAAAGACACTGAGGCAAGTATTAGCCCACCCTTCTAAGTTTGTTTAACTTGTTTCTCCCTCCCTGCTGATTTTTTCTCTCATATAGGGATTCCTGGGTGGGCTTAATTCGGTGTTGCTTGATGGTCCTCACTTCTTCCCACTGTAATTATCCAATCCACTGTGATTATTGTAGTATGCTAACCTGGTTCCAACTGTGCCATAGAAAGATACCATGGGAATACATAAAGGCAAATTAAATGAAAAAGTAGCCTGTGAATAATCCTCCAATATGTGTAATATATGGTAAGTGGATTGGTATTGTATTAGTTATATAATAATGTACATACTATATGTGTGGGTGATACACTGCATACTTTCACATCTTTTTTCAAATTTTATGTTGACATTTGTCTTATATGGCCTTATATAGTGTACTGAAGTGTTACATTTTTTATATTAGTATTAGCATTTTTATAGACAGCGTATTTCACAGGACATTACAACTACAGAACGGGGATATATGAAAACACGCAATTGACAAAATAAAATTGGTAGAGGCAAGAGGTGAAGAAGGCCCTACTCAAATAGCTTACGATCCATGACAAAGGGGTAATGGAACACAAAACATTACTGGAAAAGTTTAAGTGTTATCAGTTTAATACATTTTAGGTAGGTACAAGTTATAGTATTACTTATAAGTATTACTAGTAAGTCTACAGTACTACCAAATTTAAAAATATTTCACTTTTAATTTCACAAATATTTAGAAACCAAGACTCAAAAATATACCCACAATAATGTATTTTATTACAGAAATCAAATACTTTATTTTATAACAATTTAATTATTTTGAAGAAGGTGTTCTACAATATTATGGCTGTTGATCTTCCTCGCCAAATATCCCCTCAACAATATCTCGATAAATTTCAATCTGTCGGGAATCCAGTCTTACATCAATCTCCAAAGGAGCCATCATCTGGAGAAAGATTTCAAACAGTAATTCAGTGCATTTAAAAAAAATAAATAAAAAATAAACAAATCCTCACTCCAGTGAGCTATTTGGAAAAACAAACATGACAAATTAAGCTATTTGAAGATTCCATTTTGGGGTCTACACATTTTGGGGTCTACACATGTGCATTTCCCCATCACAAAAAAAGAAGAGCTGACAAAAAAAAGAAAAGAAAAACAAAGAAAACAAAAACAGTAGTAAGTAGAAGGAACAAGATAAATTATGAATGGTTAAAAGTACACTGGAGCCTCCTGAAGCATTCCAGCTTTCTGATGTATTTTGGAGTCAACGGCATATTCTCTCTGCCTTATTTTATGAAAAAATTAATAAAATAATAAACTCGCTTTCTGAAGCCTCATTCAAAGCACAGATAAAGCATATGCTCAGGAAGAAAAAAAATAAAAAGTGCTGACAAAAAAACAAAAACAAAAAGTCTCAGACCATTCTTTTATAGAACAAATTAGAAGGTGTTGTCTGTTTGGTGGAAGAGTGTTGAAGGAGTGATGACTTAAAGGTAGGCAGGCAATGTAATAGAACAGCAGGAAATGCTAGCAAAATGTTTGGTTGTATAGGGAGAGGTATTAGCAGTGGAAAGAGGGAAGTGCCCATGCCATTGTACAGAACACTGGTGAGACCTCACTTGGAGTATTGTACACAGTACTGGAGGCCATATCTTCAGAAGGATATTGATACTTTGGAGAGAGTTCAGAGAAGGGCTACTAAACTGATTAATGGATTGCAGAATAAAACTTACCAGGAAAGGTTACAGGATCTTAACATTTAAAGCTTGGAGGAAAGACGAGACAGAGAGGATATGATAGAAACATTTAAATACATAAAGGGAATCAACACAGTAAAGGAGGAGACTATATTTAAAAGAAGAAAACTACCACAACAAGAGGACATAGTCTTAAATAGAGGGGCAAAGGTTTAAAAATAATTTCAGGAAGTATTACTTTACAGAGAGGGTAGTGGAGGAATGGAATAGCCTTCCAGCTGAAGTGGTAAAGTTAACACAGTGAGGGAGTTTAAGCATGTATGGGATAGGCATAAGGCTATCCTAGACTTAACAAAAGGCCAGGGACTAATGAAAGTATTTAGAAAATTGGGCAGACTAGATGGGCCAAACGGTTCTTATCTGCCATCACATTCAATGTTTCTTTGTTTCTATATGAGTGAAGCAGCCAGCAGAATGTGCTATCCTACTATTTGCTATCTCAGCTCTGTGTGGGTTTGTGCTTGGATTGGTTTCACACAAGCTAAATGCTCTCCAGGTATGGACTGGAATGTTCATATGAGTATCTTTAGATGAGCAGACTGCCATACAATAATAAGTAGCTTTGGCAAGTGCCCTAATGAGGGCAAATTTGTCCTCATAGGCCACTCTTTTAGTTCCCTATGTGAGAATGGAAACTGCAGAAATAATCATGTCAAACATATGTTTTGTTCTAATACATACTTTTCAGTAGTCCTTACAATGCTCATAAATAAGAGTTTAAAAATAAAATTCAGGAAAAATGGGGATGGTTATATTTTCCGCAGTACCTTGGCCTTGTTCCCTGTTAATGGGGCATACCATTTATTAATTGTTTGCCCTCTTCCCTGGGTCCCACCAGGCTCACAGGCTGCTTCCATGTCTGGTGACGAACTTCTGGCTTCTGCAGTGCGATCCAGTTACCATTCATTAGCTAAGAGCATCAACTGCCCTTACTGAGCCAATAAATGACACACCATGCAAAAATATTTGCACATAATTGATGTTAGTCTGACTAACAACTCCCCCATGTAGCGGATGGATATTAAGTTGCACTTCTTGCAGCCAAAGGGTTAAACTAGGTATATGCATACAGATTACAGGCACCATGACTACTTTAAATAACTTCAACATTTACATTTATTGTTTCACATGTCACTGTGTATAAGTTTCAATTTTTTTTTAGCTGATTATTGGAAGTGGACTTTGCTTTAATGTGGCATACATTTGACGAACTCTAATGAATGTCATATGGGAAAACATAATGTTTTCTGTAACATTCCACCAGCATACCTCCCAACATCGGTAATTACAGAATTGGGACGCTAGTTCGAGAAGGGAAAAGGGGGAAGGCCAGTGATGTAAAAATGAAGTAGGCCTGCACAGAATATGCAGACCAACCAGGAAAAGGTGCACATTCACACACATTACTGGTCATTCCACCTGCTGTGAAGACACACCAGGCTCGCTGCCAATCATTTTAGCTGGCCCACTGAGGGCAGACCCTACAGGGAGCACTATTTCATTGCTCCCTGCAGGGTCCTAGTGCTCATGTTATAATTGTTGGGAACTGTTCCCTGGTGTCCCAAAAAATAAAACACTACAGAAGTAAGTTGGTACAGCGGGTCAGGACCCGGGAAACGACACTGTCCCACACAAATTGGACTATTGGACTATTGGGAGCTTTGTTTTTAGCTGTGTTAAGGCATTTCATCACTGTATACATTTCCTAAAAATATATAGTTTACTGTTTGAAGTTGAATAATCATGCAGTCTCTATAATGAAACCCCCATGTCTTTCTGTGTGTTTATCTTCAGTGTAAATTTATTGAATTTATATGGGCTGACAATGTGTAATAAGGCTTATAATGGCTTTTAAAAATCACTAAAAGGACAGAGAGTACAAAAAATAGAGTTCATCCTTTGCTAGTGAATCAAAAGCGCCTCTAAAAATACAATAATGTATGTAGATATATGGAAAGGAAGATTGCACGTAAAAGATTAAAAAACCTCAAATAATATCATGCTAATGTCACAGTAAAGTAAACCTATGCAAAAATATATACACTGTCTCCCAATTTGGCTTTATTTTAGTATCCATGCCACAAGAAACATTGTTATCATGTAAAATAATACAAAGGTGGGGAAAAAATCAGAATATAGATACTTAGGGGTAATAATTTAACCGCTGCTAAATACAATACGACACTATATCTTTAAGGAGATTTTATGGGCTAGAACCTAGGTTTGCTCATTTATTTTATTTAGCAGCTGTTATAGTACTCCTCCTATGTATCTATATAAAGCTTTTTTCCACCTTTGTACTGGATGGCAATGGCATGGTGACAATGTTTCTTGTGGCATGGATACTGAAATAAAGCCAAATTGGGAAACATTGTATATATATCCTTACATAGATTTACTTTACTTTGGCATTAGCAATATACTATCTGAGGCTTTTTAATCTTTTTATGTACAATCTTCCTTTCTCCTTTATTATTAAGAGTTAATTCTTGGTCTATTTTTTTTAATCTCTTACATCTATGTATCCATATTTCTACATACATTGCTTTTCTAGAGGAGCTTTTGATTCACCTGCAGAGGAAGTACTCCATTTTCTGAACTCTCCCTCCTTTTAGCGATTTCTATTTACAAGGATTTAAGCCAAGGATACATTTTAGTGGTATCCACTTGACATCAAGGTGCTTAGGCATTGCTTTGGCATATATGCTTTGGCACATATTCATTTGTTATAATGTCTTTTAAAACTGTATTTACTATAATAACAAAGAACATTTAATACTTACTGTATTTAAGTCTATATGTTCTGTCCCATTTTGCTTGGCTACTATCAGTGCTGTATTTGAAAAACCAATCTCGAGAGCAGAATTTGTAGCTTAACCCCTTAAGGACACAACTTCAGGAATAAAAGGGAATCATGACAGAATATTTCTGTCATGTGTCTTTAAGGTGTTAACATTCCTTAAGCTTATAGTTTCCATTTTTAAACTTTGTGTTCAGACTAACAGTCACTAGAGGCGTTTTCTCCTTCAAAGGTCTTAACATTCAGTGCCATCACACCGCATGATGACCCTGAACACTCGTAATACTTAATACATTGAGAAACACTGGATTTAATGCATTTGTATGAGAAGCATTGGATTGGAGGAATGCAGCAATTGCTGCACATGCACCCTATGTTCTCAATATTCTTTGATTGTACGAAGTCATAATAACTGATGACTTCACAGAAGCACGGAGACTGAAATAAATGTGAGTTTTAAATATCAGGCATTTAAAGTACAGATTTAAAAGTTATAAGACAGATGTCAGATCACAATAACACAGCAAACAGCAACAGCGTTAGAAAATCATAAAGAGAAATGTAAAGAGAGAAACATTGTAATTCCTACAACAATAGAGCTCAAACTACTGTCCAGTGTGTCCGACATATTCATTAAATTTGATAAAACATATTGCTACTCCAATATTCCCTTCTTAATACTCCTTACATACTGACGTTTTACTATATAACTTTCATCTTAGAAGCCACACTGGCACTAGTTTGGTGCTGTTTTTTTGCTATGCATTCATTGTAAAGAAATGCAAATATCACAATTCCTTTGTTTTTGCTACACTGTTTATATCGGTAAAATAAAATGGATTTATTTTAGTGATGCATTATTGATAATAGAGGGGCAAGATCAATTTAGACTGTGAAATTACACAATATAGTAAAAGAAAAGGTATAACCTCTCACTTTGGCATATTGAATCTGGCTTAGGTGGTTGTGTGGGTGGTGGCAGTGTTGCAATGGGCACACTAAATGCAAAAGATCAAGTAACATTTGCTGTAGACTATAGTGTCTGTTTTTCCAAGCTGTTTTATGAAAATTGACTTTTGAAATCTGGGGTAAAAGTAATCAAGCTGAGAAAAAAAAAATCAATTACAGCATATTTTTTGTAAATCGGTTCACAATTCACCACAAACCTTCTTCTGTTTAGTGAAAAGACTTCAGAGTCATCTGGCCAAAATACATTACAGTAGAATTCACCAAACATGACTGAGTAGAAATTCATTAAATGGGGAACAGAAATTACATAACTGGTTTAAAAATTATGGCAAGTTATTCCTATATTGATAAACATGGAAAAGGGAGTGAATTGCTCAAACTTTTTAAGTAAGTATAGCTGCTGTCCCAGCCTATCTCTTGTTCATGCAGTGCAGGAAGAACCAAAATGACAAAGAATACTGTATAACACTCACCTTTATCACTTCCTTGTTCTCTACATCACCTTCTTCCATAGAATTACTTCCACCTCTGACATCCCCTTCCTCAGACCTCTGCACAAGCTTCTTACATGCTCTGTTCTTGCTGCGTTGCTGCCACAGAATAATGATTAAAGTTAAACAATGTAAATAATTAGCATAATAAATAAAGTTTAATAATTCCATACAATTCCATTCCATTTGAGTTCCCAGATTTAGGAATTGAATCGGGTAACACTTACGCGGGAGGTTAGACCATAACATCTCTTTACTATCTCCTCCCAAATACCCCGCCCCCTCTCTTCTTTCCTTCTTACCTTTTCTTTCTTTTTAGCCTTTTTCTTATTGATTTTTGATATGTTGCATTCAAAGTTTAATGCTTTAATTAGTTACACTGTGTGGCACTGTATATTTTTGATGCATTCAAATATTTTTTTCCTTGAATGAACACTATTGTCACTAAAAAAACTTTAGCAAAATAAAGCAGTTTGTGTATAGATCATGCTCCTGAAGTCTCGCTGATTAGTTCACTGCCATTTAGGAATGAAATCACGTTTGTTTTTGTTTATGCAGACTTTGCCACACCTCCCCTAGCTGTGACTGACACAACATTTAAGAAAAAAAAAATTGGTTTCAATTTTAATCAGATGTAACTTACTATAAAAATGTGTATCACCTGCTCTGTAAATTGAATTTTAATTACATACAGGAGGCTCCAGCAGGGTAGATGAATTCTAAATTAAAAATGATTTGCAATAAAGAAGGTATTAACATTAAATGACTCTTTACAGGAAGTGTTTAGGAAAGTTGTGTAAGTAAAATGCAGGGAGGTATGACTAGGGCTGCATAAACAGTGATTTAACTCCTAAATGGCAGGGAACTGAGCAGTGAGACTTCAGAGGCATGATCGATACAACAAAAATGCTTCATCAAACTAAGGCTATTTTGGTGACTAAAGTGTCCCTTTAAAGAACACCTTCAAGTCATGAACAAATTGAGCACAGCTTGGAGGGACAGCAGGACTACTATAATCGAATCCATAACAGACTGCTTTTGAGACCTAAGTACTGATATATCTTGGTAGAGATGTATGGAGGTCACTAAGGAGAGTGGTCAGGAATTGCCTGAGGAAGAAGGGAAATATGGAGAGTATTTGGGGAGAAAGCAAAAAGCATGTGGTGGTTTTCCACTACTTTTTGGCCAACCTGCACAGCATGTCCCCTCTCAAGTTCATCTTGTACCTTTTGACAAGCACCTTCCCTTGATTTAATCTATTCAGAGCATGCTACAATCAGACATTCAATCCTGGCAGATTATAACATTCTAAATAGCATTTTCTTACTGATTTCCCCATTGATCAACTTAGCAAATCTATATTTCCTTATATTTAACTAAATATTGACATGGTAGTAAATAAAGCATGACAATAGTTTTTAGATACTACAGCAAAGAACAGAAGATATTGCGGCTATAATTAGAATCACCTGCATATTGCAAACATCACTGTGTGAGTAAAAATGTGCAAAACTCCCCTGTGTCTTCTCTGCGAGCATGCAGATCCCATAGATAACCAGGAAAAGGGAAATAACTGTACGGGAATCCATTATTATAGTTGGTTAATCAGGCAATGCTGTAGAAAAAGGTAGAACAATGTAAAAGGTGAAATAGCATTATAATGAGTTTTCTGAATTATAGCAGATGCATCATGAGGTGTAAAGGACGTTTATAGAGCTGTTATGTGAATAATTAGATGATGACGTTTTATTGGTTTCCTAGTTTTTTAGGATACACTTTGTAGCTATTCTTATGATATATTTGGCACTGTGATGATATATAAAATGGCAACTGTGATTGCATATTTAAAAAAAAAATGGGTTAGGATGAGAAAGAAAATTTCTCATGTGTGACCAGTTATTTTGTGCCAAAGTAATTCACATGCCTTAAAGACCAGTGCTGTTATGTAATGATTATTTTTTCTCTGCCATGAAAGGTCAAAAACCAGTAACTTCGACTGCAAGTACCCAAATTGAAAACTGTGTCTTAGTCAATGAGGATCAGGAAAAAAAAACAGATTTGAAAACTATTTATTTCTTCAGTATACAGCAAACAGCGACTACTGGATATTGATTAACAAATCAATCTAACAAGAAACCTATAGGAAATACATGATTGGCTGACACAGCTATTAAATAATGTTAGGAAAAATAACACAGGGCCAAATGGCATTCACCTTTAGATACTAAGGGCACCTAGTTTAGTAAAAATCTGTTTTTAATCTTCCAGGATTCTTTATGTTTGGGAATTATACCAAAGCATTGACATAAATCAGAAATGATGCAGTATTTAAAAAAACCCAGATCAAAATATAGTTTAAAAAGGCAGATCTATGGGCTTAACATAAGTAGTGGTTTAATTATTCAATTGTCATATTTGGTCACATTTGACCATCAATATCAAAAGTTTGAATCATCATTTTTTTAATGAAAGAAAGATGACGCTCAACTAACTTAATGGTGTTCTATAAGGAAGTCAACATTTGTGACTTAAGTTACCTCAATATATAGTTATATATTTCTTAAAAAAATAAATTAAAACTCTCAGCATAGTTAACACTAACAGCTCTCTGTTTGAACTGTTTGTTAAAAGGGATGTGCAAATTACAATGAAACTTAAAGAAAGGCCAGGTTCTATTGTGGAAAATGTTCTTTACAATATGAACTATAAAAGTAATGTGGAATTCTTTCTATTAAAGCTATCAAGTTCAGTAAACTTCTTTAGTAAAGGATGATTTTCAGGGCTATCATAATTAATAGGATGATAACAGTTTATTGATCAAAGGAATATTGATATAGCCATCTTGGAGCCAAGTGGGAATTGCTTGATTGGGTTTTTCATCTGTTGTTGAATAAACAATAAATACAAGTATGCATGTGAAAGTTTGATCTGTACAGTAATATTGTCCAGGTAGGCACTATATATTTTCAAACATAATATTAGTATTATGACTGGTACATATAAACTTTAATAGGTGTTGATTACCACACGGCGTGTCACCCTGGGCTTCAGTCTATTAGTGCTGATCCTGGATCGGCGTGAGTCTGATTATGCTGAGAGCAAGTCAGAAAATCAGGAAAGTTACTAAATTGTAATGCAAGGGATAAGATGTGTATTATTAGACCTTGCGTGGCTCAAAACCTTAGGTTATCTGAATTATCTTACCTATGATTATTTATCAATTTATTTATCTTTTTTTTTATGGGTATCTTTTAAATTGATTTACACAAATGTTAAGTTTACTTAATCAGTGTTTTGGATCTAGATCCAGAGAAATAAATCTTTGGCATTCCACTTTTTGTGGACTACATTTCCCATAATGCATACCAGCACTGCCAAAGATTGCCTTCCCATAATCTAGAGTATTTTTTCAACCTTTATTACTTATTATTAGTATGGGGAAATGCATAAGGAAATGCATAAGGAAAATGCTTTATGATCATTTGTATTTCTAGATACATAGTTAAACATTAAGTACACATACCTGTGCATATAGGGCAGTGATGGCGAACCTATGGCACGAGTGCCACAGGTGGCACGCCGGGCCCTTTCTGTGGGCACGCGGCCATAGGTTCGCCATCAATGCAGAGTAGGCACCTGCCTGCCCAAAATGGCAGGCACCTACTCTGCTTCCGTGTCGGGAGGCAGGGGGAGGGATCTGTGAAGCAGCTCCCTTGTCCTCCCGCGAGCAAGCTGTGTGGAGCGTTGCCGTGCGTTACCATGTCAACGCTCCACACAGCATCGCACGGGAGGACAGGGGAGTGGCTTCACAGATCCCTCCCCCTGCCTCCGAGTAGGAAGCAGTGCTTTCCACCACCGGACCACCAGGGATGGCTGTGTGTCCCCCCCCCCTCCTTCATTAAAGGTAAGAAGGAGGGAGGGGGTTATTGATTTAGCATACTTTTTTTTTAAAATACCTTTACCCCAGCCCCCCACACACAGTACCCCTACCCCCCACACACAGAGTACCTCTACCCCCCCCACACAGCACACCTCCCCTCCCCAGCATCCCTCACCACCCCACACCCAGCTTCCCTCCGCACCCCCTACCCCCCATACACAGCACCCCTACCCCCACAGCACAGCACCCCTACCCACCACAGCACCCTTACCCCCACCCAGCACCCTCACACACACACACACAGCACCCCACACACACACACAGCACCCCCACACACAGCACCCCACACACACACAGCACCCCACACACACAGCACCCCTCATACACACACACAGCACCCCCTCATACACAGCACCCCTCATACACACATACACACACACACACACAGCACCCCTCATACACACACACACAACACCCCTCATACACACACACACAACACCCCTCATACACACACACACACACACACAGCACCCCTCATACACACAGCACCCCTCATACACACAGAACCCCTCACACACAGCACCCCTCAATACAGTATGTGTGTGTATTCAGCAGTCTATGTGTGTATGAGTGTGTGTATTCAGCAGACTGTGTGTGTGTATTCAGTCTGTCATTTGTTGGAGATACTAATAAATATAAGCTTAATTTTATCTATTTATATCATTATTTAAAATTTGTATAATTGAACTCTCTGTTGTTGTGTTCTTTTAAAACAAAAGTTGTTAATTAGTTCGGACAACAGTACAAGTTGTTTTTTCTAAACTTAAACCTCAGTGTTGAGGTTTAATTGCCGTGTTGGCACTTTAAGAAAAAAAAAAAGTTGGCATGTATTGCGGTTTGGGCACTCGGGCTCAAAAAGGTTCGCCATCACTGATATAGGGCATATTTTCAAATGGAAAAATTCTTGATATTTTGCTCATTATTGCACACCTAAGTGATTAAATGTAACAGTTGGAGTTTTGACACTAAACACCTGTAGTTCCAATAGTGTCTGTTTATTTAACACACTTGCTTATATTTTGACATATAAGCAACCACTAGTTATACACCTGCTAACACAAAAAGTATACATACATTTTTTTGCTCTGGATGTTAACTCATGTTCCTCTCCATTACAGACTAGTCCAGAAAAATAAGGCATAAGACTAATGGAGGACTTCCTATATTTAGCATCTTGCTTTCTCAATCTTCTTGTTAAATGTGTATTAGACATGTTTTTCCACCTGTTCTAGCTAACCGTTTCATTGTTTTCGCCTGTTAAACTTGCCTGGATGTACTGCAATGTAGAGATTTAGAGGTTTTAAAGTGTTTCTTTAGAGATTTCACCATTTCCATTACATTTAAACCCTACACTTACAACCATCCAGGTTGTTTCTGTTTTTTCATCTACTTTATCAGTTCTATCATCACTTCTCTTCACATACCAACATTCTCCCCACATACCTCGCTGCACTCATTATGTACACACAGCATTGGTTAAACTATGAGACTGCACAAACCTTTATGCTCCTTTCTACTTACAGATGTATGACTAACTGCTATACATTTTCGAGTTATGTTATTTGACTGGGTTATTTACTGAAGTGTGAATGGTCAAGAATGCAAAGTGAATTCAAAGACCATTTCAAATAGTCAAAAATGTCCCTGTTCAGGAAATTATGTTGGCTTAACAACAGCATAACATAAATTATTAAATACTTACAAAGTTGGAATGAACACTGAAAACCATAGAGAGTTAATAATTAGAAAGAGACACTTGGGACATATGTATACCTACATACACTTTACCTACCTGGGTTCTGTGGAAATTGGAGGATCAGTCTGCTTTCTATGGTGTACAGAGACGTCTCTGCTTTTTATATAAGCTGTCTGAAATAGCAATCGTAGCACCAGACAGAGATTTTTTGTGTCCTTAGAAACAAGGTTTTTTTATGGCTCTGAAATTAAATGGGAAAAGGGAAATTCCTTTCTGCCCTAAAACAATGTGTATAATAAATCACTCTGATGCAATAATGCACTGTTTTTTATGATATGAAAATAGCAACTTTAAAAAAATGTTTTACAAATACTTTATAAATGCTTGAAAGGATGTAGAACATTTTTTGGAAATCAATAGATAGAAGCCTAATACTTTTTTTTTTGTTCCACGGTCATGAATATGCAGGGAGTAATTCACTTAACTTACAGCAAAATGTGGAAATAATTCACAAATGTCCCCTGCATTTCCATCTTGAGTATTTACAAAAGCATTAATTAAATAAAAATGTCTGTCTATGATAAGTATAAAATATGCTATACGTATAGAATAAATATCGAATAACCAATAAATGGATCAGGTAGACATCAATGGCTATGTGATGGGAATTAAAGGACTAACTAAATGGGCAAATTACCCATTTGACTGCATGTGAGTCCACCTGTCATTATTTGTGATTATTAGAGTTGAGCGAACCCGAACTGAAAAGTTTGGGTTCGTACCGAACATTAAGTTTTTTGGACCCCGGAACCGAACAAGGACATATTACTGTATGTTCGGGTTGGAGTTCAGTGTTCGGTGATTTAATGGTGCGTTTTCAAAGGCTGCAGGGCAGCCAATCAACAAGCATTTGACTCATGTGCCCTTAGAAGCCATCACAGCCATGCCTACTAATGGCATGGCTATGATTGGCCAGTGCAGCATGTGACCCAGACTCTATATATAAGCTGGAGTTGCGTAGCGCTGCACGCACATGCGGTCTTATTAGTGTAGGGAGAGGATGCTGCCGCTGATAGGGACAGCTTAGGAAAGAATTCTGCAAACTAGTACATTAGTGGGGTGGGGTGCACTTCATATCTGAGAGTCAAATAGAAGCTTCAAATACCGCGGTTACATCAGTGTTTTAAAAAGTAATTTTTATTTTGGTGCTAAATAGTACATTAGTGGGGTAGTACATTAGTGGGGTGCACTTCATATCTGAGAGTCAAATAGAATCGTCAAATACTGCTGTCACAAATTTTTTTGGGTGCTAAAAAGTACATTAGTGGGGTGCACTTCATATCTGAGAGTCAAATAGAAGCGTCTAATAGTGTGCTTTCTGCGCACTTGTAAACATTCTAATTGTTTTGCTGGTAATCTGCTAAATAGTACATTTTGGGGCCTGTTCTTCATATCTAAGAGTCAAATCAAAGCGTCTAATAGTGTGCTTTTTGCGCACTTGTAAACATTCTAATAGTTTTGCTGCTAATCTGCTAAATAGTACATTTTGGGGCCTCTTCTACATATCTGAGAGTCAAATCGAAGCGTCTAATAGTGTGCTTACTGCGCACTTGTAAACATTCTAATTGTTTTGCTGCTAATCTGCTAAATAGTAAATTTTGGGGCCTGCTGTGCACTTCATATCTGAGAGTCAAATAGAAGCGTCAAATAGTGCGCTTATGGCGCACTTGCAAACATTCTAATTGTTTTGCTGCTAATCTGCTGCTTACATTGGAGTTTTAAAAAGTAATTTTTTTTTTGGTACTAAATAGTATATTTGGGGTGTTCACTTCATATCTGAGAGTCAAATTGAAGCGTAACTTTGATTCGAATTTACTACATCGGCCACTTGTAATATTGTTTCACACCTACAACACTTGTTATACAGATCTAAGTGATAGAAAACAGATTGATATTTTCTACACTAGAAACTACCAGATAACAAGCTGATATATTTGAACCAGTGATCAATAGCTAAGAGTTACTTCAACAATATTGTAATTCTGGGGCAATACCCTCACAAGTCAAACTGAGAGGTCAGTTTATAGGGAAAACTGTTGCCTGGAGGAAATTCTAAAAAAATTCCATATGTCCTTTGCAGACTTTACATGCTGGAAAAACACAGGTGCCAACTGCTGTGACTTTCTGCAGTGTGCATACCGGCAAGGAGGGCAGGGTTGAGGAGTGGGTGGAAGATGATTTGGAGGATGATGAGGTCCTGGACCCCACATGGAATCAAGGTCATGCGAGTGACGTGTGCAGTTTGGAGGAAGAGGCGCTGTGGCACAAAGGCACCAGCATAGCATTAGAGGGAGCAGGGTGCAAAAGCGCCCCTTAGCGCTCGCCAGCATGTATTAGCTCGAGAATTACCAGCTCGGGTCTGTACCAGATTTAACAATTCATTCTTAGTTTCACAGTGAGGTGGGCAGTCCGGTGACCAGGACCCATACACTGTCAGGATGTGACATTCACTGTAGCGGCTGTGCGCGCTTTTGGTGTTGTCACCCTGCTGCTGCTCGCCTGTCTGCATTGCAGTGTAACTTCGGCCTTCCCACTCACCGCCTCATGAGACTTTGCGAGCAGCAGCAGGCAATAGTGGAGTTTGATGCTGCAGCACGCACGGGTCAGTGGCTCTGCACCAGACTTCCCTCCAATTGATCAGAGTTAAAGGATTTCCAGTGGACTCATTACAATTACAGGGCCTCTAAAGAGTCCTGTATTGTTATTTGTCGTCACTACCTTCCCGCGTCGGGAGTGGGTCATTTGCGCGCTTGCTGCCTTCCTTGCATTTGGTAGCCGTTTCTCAGGGTCCCCGTATGAAATGGAATCCTGATTCCCCCTAACCCATGGTCACCATGGTAGGCGCAGAAACTGGCATCGAAAGTTGATATGGATGACATCCACATCCACATACAAAGTCGCCACCACGGGGATGTGCGATTTGCCCAAGGTTCTCTAGAATCAACAAAGTTCCTGTGCAACTATAATGTCAACATCTACTCTGCGGAATAGAGTTGTCTTTTTTTATGCACCGCAGGTTGCAAATGTTTCTTTATTTGTATGTCCCAATATTTTGTTGGCTATCAAAAAAACAAAACAAAAAAACCCCCCATAAAATACAGTGTTGGCTCCCTCATCCTCCTCCTCCACCGCTGCTTCCACCTACACCACAACGGTCACCGCCTCCTCAACCAATGGATCACCTAGTATAAACTAGGTACACATTAGCAGAGGCTTATGAAGGCCTTTTCTCCATGCATCAGGAGTTGAACATTTCTCCATGCATCAGGACTGCAAGAAATGCACCGCAGGCTGCAAATGTTTCTTTATTTGTATACCCCAATATTTTGTGGGCTACCACAATTTAAAAAAAACCATAAAATACAGTGTTGGCTACCTCATCCTCCTCCTCCACCGCCACGGTCACCGCATCCTCAACCTATGGGTCACTTAGTATAAACTAGGTACACATTAGCAGAGGCTTGTGAAGGCCTTTTCTCCATGCATGAGGAGTTGAACTCAGTTTGAACAATGAGAGAATACCCGGCACTCCAACTCTCTCTCAAATGGATAATTCTGTTGATCCTCCTGACAGCCATGCTTTAGATTTTGCTTTATGTTCTTCCAAAGCTAAAATCAAAGATTCCATCTAGTGCTATTTTATGGCTCAGCTGTATTTTTAATTTTTATGTTATTTTAAGTGATTTCCCTATCCACATTTGTTTGCAGGGCACCTGTCCTACTCTTCCCATATTTTACTTCCTTTTGCAGCTCTCTAGCCCTTTCCAGGATTTTTTTAGAGTCATTTTTGAGGCCAAAAGTTCGGGTCGCCATTGACTTCAATGGGGTTCAGGTTTGGGGTCAAGTTCGGAGTCAAGTTCGAGCCCGAACCCGGACTTTTTTTCAAAGTTCGGCCGAACCCCGCCGGACCCGAACCTCCAGGTGTCCGCTCAACTCTAGTGATTATCAATGTTTTCAAAACCTATATAGAGTTAGCGCTATACACTATAAGTAATAAATATATTTAGTGCACAGGTTGGCAAGGGTCTGTGAGATAGACTTAAGGTGCCCAACCTCCACTCCTTAAATAATGATTACTAAACCAAAGCAATGAAGGATCTCATTCTGAGATACATAATCAGACACAATCCGACAAACAGGTTTGCCTGCCTGAGAATGGAACTTACACTGAAACCCTCCTAAGGTTTAAATGCTTTTAATTTACTGGTAAATTGTATTTAACCCCCTAAGGACACGTGACGGAAATATTCCGTCATGATTCCCTTTTTTTTACCTGTTGTGTCCTTAAGGGGTTAAGATGACAATTGGTAAATTGTATTTTAAGTTGACAATATGAAGGACAAAGAGGAAAATAGCAGAAAATCAGTAATATAAATGAAAAGAAGCCTATAGGCGTGTTTCCAATGTTGTCAGTAATCAATTTTTTATTATTCAGATATGAAGTTTCAAAACCTCACTTCCAATGGTTAGTGTAAATGTGCCATGAGCAAACGAAGATAATTAACTAAATTGGCTTTCATTGGATTGTTAGCAATATCCATGATGCTACCCATATATAATAAAATATGTCGGGCAAGACACATTATTTAACACTTCAAGCACCACAAATGCCCTTGTGCTCCCCACTGTAAGTTGTCAAACCATTTAAAAATTTTTATCTAGGTTCTACTGTGTGCTGCTCTCTACCTTCCAGCAGGTGGAAGCAGTGGCGTACTAAAGGGGGGGCAGGGGGAGGGGAGCGATCCGCCCCGGATGCCACTCAGTAGGGGGTGCCACACTCTGTACCTCCTGCTGGTTCACAAAAATACGCCTCTCCCTCGTGGCTCCAGCGCTCAGTCAGTGAGGAAATTCCCAGCCTGTGTTCTGAGTCATCACTGAGCACCAGGGAGGAAATTCCCAGCCTGTGTTCTGAGTCATCACTGAGCACCAGGGAGGTTGTTATGGAGTTTACCAGCAGGGGGCGCAGAGCGTGTATTCTGCCAGGTTTCTCTCCTGCGGCCACTCTTCCTGCACCTGCTGCACTGCCTGACCCTGGGCTGGGATGGAGAGAGACAGCCCCTGAATCATGGTAAGATAATAATATTATTTTTAATTCACCCTCACACCCTCCCTCAGTCACCCTGTCACCCCCCCACTCCCCGTGCTAGAAACATAGAATGCTTTGACGGCAGATAAGAACCATTCGGCCCATCTAGTCTGCCCAATTTTCTAAATACTTTCATTAGTCCCTGGCCTTATCTTATAGTTAGGATAGCCTTATGCCTATCCCACGCGTGCTTAAACTCCTTTACTGTGTTAACCTCTACCACTTCAGCTGGAAGGCTATTACATGCATCCACTACCCTCTCAGTAAAGTAATACTTCCTGATATTATTTTTAAACCTTTGTCCCTCTAATTTAAGACTATGTCCTCTTGTTGTGGTAGTTTTCTTCTTTTAAATATAGTCTCCTCCTTTACTGTGTTGATTCCCTTTATATATTTAAATGTTTCTATCATATCCCCCTGTCTCGTCTTTCCTCCAAGCTATACATGTTAAGATCCTTTAACCTTTCCTGGTAAGTTTTATCCCACAATCCATGAACCAGTTTAGTAGCCCTTCTCTGAACTCTCTCTAAAGTATCAATATCCTTCTGAAGATACGGTCTCCAGTACTGCGTACAATGCTCCAAGTGAGGTCTCACCAGTGTTCTGTACAATGGCATGAGCACTTCCCTCTTTCTACTGCTAATACCTCTCCCTATACAACCAAGCATTCTGTCACCCTGTCACCCCCCCAGTCACCGTCACCCCCCTTGTCACCTTGTCACCCCCTCCCTCAGTCACTCTGTCACCCCCCCTCCCTCAGTCACTCTGTCACCCCTCCC